CGTGCGTGCGTGCGTGCGTGCGTGCGTGCGTGCGTGCGTGCGTGCGTGTGTGTGTGTGTGTGTGAAGGTGAGTGCGGATCAGCTCATTAAGGGTTTCCTGCCTCTCACACTTCTGATGATGTGAGTCTTAAAACCAAACCAGTCCAGGGTTCAATCCTGCTGCCATCTTGTTTTTAGAGACAAGAGGACTGTGTCCAAATTCAGGGTCTGGGTCCTTCGAAGGACCCGGCCTACCTGGTCTAGGTGGGCCGGATCCTTGGTCGACCGCAAAGACCAGAAACAAAAAGCTGTGAATTTGGACACAGACGAGGTTTTTCTCTTGCTGTCCTTCCAAACGAGCCGTGACCTTTGACCTTTGGCCTGCTGAGGCCTGTAGAGCTGGTGCTCATTGCACGGTCTGACATTCAGGGTGAAAACAGAGCAGCTTCTCTCCGGTCCTTGCTGTTGTCTTTCCACTAACCCACCTGGACTTCTGTTCTGGGAACAAACTGGACCCGTTTGTCTTTGATGCCCTCGTGCACGGAGCGGGTCCAGCAGACGGCCCTGAGCCCCGCCCCTCGTGAGTCCGCCGCTGCCGCCTCCTTGTTTTTAATGGTATTCTGAAATCAATTTGTTTAAATTGCCTCAATTTAACTTGCCGGAGTACTGGAGGAGATCTGTATCGAGGTAATTATGGAGAATGATTGGGCCGATTCATTATGCGTAAGAGGATCCAGAATGTTGAACAGGGAGATGTTGGAGATAAGAGCTTAGCACGGCTGTGACCTCCAGCTACCAGGCTCGGCCCTTCTCTTTAATCTTTAGGACCACATGTCCCAGTCCACGTCTCCCTAACACGGTCTGTTTTCTGTCTCTGTCCAGTGTCCCGCTTCTCCAGTCCCCGGCTGACGCCCCGGCTGAGCAGGAAGCGGGCCCTGTCCATCACGCCGCTGTCGGACGCCAGCATCGACCTGCAGACCATGATCCGCACCTCGCCCAACTCGCTGGTGGCGTACATCAACAACTCGCGCTCCAGCTCGGCCGCCAGCAGCTCCTACGGTCACCTGTCGGTCGGTGGGATCAGGTGAGGGGACGGTTCATCCAAACTTTAAACTTCCTGAAGCTCTTTCAGTTCGTCTTCATCTGTTTAAGACTCTTAACTCCTCCTGAATCATTTAAAATAAAGTTCTTAAAATCCAGACAACTTGCTTCCCAAAAACTGCTGTAAAAATCTTCAACATGAATATTTTCCCTCTTCTTTTAAGACCTCTTCAGCCTGAAACAGTCAGGTCAAATATTAATTATGTTTTTGGATTTTAAAGTTTAAACTTGGAGCAGCAGCTTGTCACAGAGACACAAGTTGTTCCCAGTTTTATTTTGTTGAATCTTTAAATAAACAGAAAAATAGAGTTTGACAGAATAGAAAAGGTCAGATGAGGAGATTTAAAAAAAACTGATGGAGGATGGTGAGTCTCAGTTCCTGGTTCTGGTCTGGATCTGATCCTTTTTCTGTTCCTTTCAGATATCGTTCATCTGCTGGAGACATGTTTTTGTTTTAGATATGATTCTTTTATCTTTTTTAAACTAACTGATAAATTCAAATAGTTCAAGTTTTTGTCCTAAAGACGTGAAAATCTTAGAAAATCTGTTTATTTCTTCTGTAATAAATAAAACTAAATGTATTTCGTCCTGCTCTCCGGTGTTTCACATCTGTTAGCATCAAATGGCTGAAAGGTCTTGAAGGAATGCTGCCTTGAAACTTAAAGGGATCCCTGATTAGTTGTAACATTTGACTTTATTTGATAAACATTTATTTTAACTGTAAAATAAAGACTGTAAAAATATTGTAGGATGTTTAGTTTTGTAAATTTTTAAAAATATATTTCAACA